ACTGGACACTGCCAGCTGCTGCAGGGCTGCTGTTGAGCCCTCGAGGTGCTTTTGAGGTGCCTTTGAGTGACAAAAACCACCTTCCCACGAGGACGGATTGCAGAGGCTGAACAACTCGGAGCAATCCAGCACTTGAGCTGTTTGCATTCCCTAACGTGAAATCCAGGAGACTAGACAGTTTGGGGTTTTTTTGTTTGTTTGCTTTAAAAAGAGATTTATATCCATATAGCGCTATTTAAAAGAGCACTGAGAACAAATTTGGACGCCTACAGCCTGAGCATTCACCTTGAGAACATTATCCGAGCACAGGCAGCACTTCTCTCACGCTCTGCCCATTGCGATAGGGTTTTAACCCCTCTCGGGGGCGAGCTCACTAGGAGCAGACTGACACAGCTCCAGAACAGTTACCTGTGAAATCCTAGGTGAAGGGTGTATTGCGTTAGGACCAGGTTTTCTGTTACCAGATTGTAGCTGTTTGCAAACTCTGGCTCTTGCTCTGTCACAGCAGGTATCAAACAGGTTTCCTTCTCCAACCCTGGAATTGAAAGCAGCGCTGCATTAGGTGCAAAGCCAAAGGAGGAGGACTGAGGGGAGCTCGAGTTCCGCTGGGAACACGCAGCGACTGCCCCTGATGCTGGAACCACGGAGGCAGGTGCTTTATTTGCTCCTAGCTTTTCCTTTGCTCCTGCCCGGTTGCCCACTTGGTTCTCCCTCACAGGTGCATGCGCACAGGGAGAATGCACTCCTGGCAGAGGGAAGGAATGGACGAGGGCTCCCCAGGGTAAGCGCCACGGCTCGTTGGCAGCGTACCTTTCATGTGCACGTTCTTAATCCTCCTCTCCTCCTCGTTAAGCTCCTTCAGGGCGCAGTAAGTAGGGTTAAACGTAAGCAACCTGGGGGACTTGGGTTTGCAGAAGGGCTGGCACAACTTGAGCAGGGCAGCTCCCAGGTTGAGGAAGAAGGCATCGGAGGCGTACATCTGGAAGAAGATCTCCGGCATCTGGTTCGCCCAGATTTTGGTGCGGCCGGCATTGGCGTGCAGGCAGTTTCCGAGCCAGGAGAGAATCCTGTGCTTGGTCTCCGGAGACAACTGCAGCAGGTTCTTCAGCAGCTGGTAGATCTTCTCGTGGAACTGGGCCATAAACTGTTGGAACACAAGGTGGGCAAAACAGCTGGGTTTGACAATGGCTCATTCTGCACGTGCTGTCATTTAAGACATGGGTGCTCTCAGAGCTGGCCTGGGTCCGACTGCCAAATCTGCTGCTCCTAAAAATGTGGGATTTTCAAAGCAACTTATAGCCAGGACAGCTCTAAGAGTCACCTATGGCGAACAGGCCCAATCCTGAGGCCAGCAAAGAACACTGTGGGACAAGCTCAAAATCGCTGTCAGGAAGGAGTGAGCTGCTTCCATGGGGAGCAAAACCAAAATCCCTTACAAGTTTTGGGCATAAAGAATGAGCCTGGAAGAATGCCTGACTCAGAACACAATCCTCAAGGACAAAGTTCTGCACACGAGTTCACTCTCCTGGAGAACGAGGATGACACTACTTGCAATTTTGTGACGCTCCTCAACTTCCAAAACATTCTGCAAAGTGCTGCTAGCACCACCTGCCCAGGGAGGAGGTGATCTCCTGGCATAACGCAGGAGAATCAACGCCAGTGCCTCTCTCTGCTTGCAGGCTCGCTGCCTGACAGTCACTGCAGCCACTGCCACACGTGCTGTAACTCACTCAGCCGCAACGCACGCTCTGAGAATAGAAACCCTTGATTTCAGGTCATTTTAACCGCCGGGAAGAGAGGCCAGTCAAGCACGTTAGGAAGCTCTGCCGCTACCCACCTGATGGATGTTGGACTCCTGAACTTTGATCTCTTGAGGGCTGGAGCGGGAAGGATTCAAGAAGTAGCCGTGGTTCTCTACCACGCCAGGAGTCTTTAACAGGCAGGAGATGTTCAAAATGGCACCTAGCAAAGTCTTCTGGTACATCTGCCCGTTACTAGGATCCTTGGGCTGAATATAGTCTGCAAAAACCTGCGGGGCGCAGATGATGCACGTGCTGAGGATTACAGGAGCATCTCAAGAAACCCACCTGTGCCTCTGGGACAAGCGCTCGGAAACCAAGAGGAGAAAGGGGGCAGCAAGTGACCACGCTCTAGCTCTGCTTTCACCAAAACGTTTGTGTCGCGCTGAGAAACCTACCTTGGCGATGTCCTTCTGCCTGGTGAAGTAGAGGAGCATGTCGAGGTAAGTGTACAGCAGGATCTGGCAAAGGTCCAGGTCTTTGATCCGGCCCAACAAAATGTCAAACACCGGAATCATCACTTCCCCAAACGTCCGCACTTCCTCATCCAGCGTCAGCGCTTCTATGACCTCCTCCAGAAACTCAGTCATGTCTTCAAAATCTAGTGAGAGAAACAAGGCTAGCACAGCAGAGCTCTTGCCCCCGGCCCCTTTGTAAAAAACATCAAGAGAAGCCAAATCTTCACCCAGGCCCGCAATAATCTTCCTGCAACCTTTCACTTCAGCTGAAGATCTTAGCAAAGTACAGCTACGGCTAGGAAGAACAGAGTGATTTCTCTCATCCGCCACGGCCCCGCACGTTTCCAGAGCAGCTCTGCGAACACAGGGCTTCCATCGCCCTTTAGAGTCACATTTTCCTCAACGTGGACAACTGATTTCACCACGATCTAGACAGAGAAGCTCAAGTCTCCGTGGCCCTAAGTGCACTCATCACAAAAAAACACAGCCAGAGCAGCAGCGGTCACCTTTGCAAACTGCCCCTGCCACCCAGTAACCTCCCAGCTTAACGCGGTGCCACTTACGGGCGCCCCTGAGAGCCTCCAGCATGAGGTCCACGAGCTGCTCGTACACGTTCTGGTTGACGTAGATCTCGGGCGTGAGCAGGACGGTGCGCGTGTTGGACACGGTCAGGTTGCGGCAGCGCACGGC